TTCCGGAGGTTGCGTCCGTTTCCTGCGGAAGCGGCTCGTTGGGTGACGCATTGCGTTTCTAATGGCCGCGGCGGCGTCCATGTTGAGTCGTAATTCCTCCGAGAACCGAAGCTTTGGATGCACTTGCAGAAACTGAACGTTTCGTTCAATTTCTGTTGATTGAACAACCGTTATTTAGACATGCACACAGGGATGCAGTAGAGAAAGTAAACTTCAAAATTCCCTAGTCTAATTAACCATTAACTAGGTCTTAATTAATCCAGAAACGATCATTCGACTTTGCAACTTTCACTGATCCCAAAGATCACTCGATGGAATCTGAAAATCGCGAAAGGGTCGTATATCCTCGCTCCAGGGCTCCAATCATGGCTCTCCTTACACCGAGGACACGTTTTCTCCGCATGAACTGAATCACGACACCCACCTTCCGCGATGCTCGTTAAGTCGAGCCACGGTAGACCGTTTTCACCCCTTGTTGGTCACGCAAAATGAAAAGTCGCGGGTCTAACCTTGTTCGCCGTCATCGATTTCCAAGCTCCCGGCGACCAGGAGACGTTGCATGCTTATCCTTGACTCTGGCAAACACCTCCGCCTCCAGGTGGGGTCAAGGACGCCAGGTGCGAGAGACTAATCGTCGAGGAAGTTTGCGGCCTTCCAGTGAAGGGGGTCGAAGGTCCTCGGCTATCGCGAAGGCTCAGATCGTGAGACGAGATTTCGCGAAAGGGTTTCCAGCGACAACGCTAATAGCCAGCTCCGAATCTCGTTATCCGGAGCACCGCTGCGACGTGGGCGAAAGTTCAAGGGGTGCAACACGTGTGAAGAAACTGCGACCAGTTCTAATTCCTTTATTTATAGACAGGAAACACCCATTGTTTGCATAAGGACGTGCTTTATTCAAGAAGAGGTGCAATACTCGCTCGTTAGCTGTGGGAAGCATTTATTTCTAGAATACGTTAAAGTATATATTATTATATGTAATAGTATAATATTATTATTATATGTAGGTTGAATGAGTCTATTTTTCACTGATGATTATACATACCTAGATATTTCAACTTCGAGGATCTTCAAAATAATAAGAGTGGGACTGAAGTATTTTTTTAATAGCATTGTTTGACTGTATTTTTTTAGTTTGTTCAACACTTGAAGAAAATAGTTGCGTGACAATGGTATCATCCTTAATGATGAAATGGGCTTTTCGTACCAATAAACTTATGAAAATAATTGAAATGAAGTTAAATGAAAATAAATGAAAATAATGAGAATAGTACTGAAATGTTTTCATTATGTCATTGTTTGATTATATTTTTTTAGATTATTTGTTCAACATCTGAAGAAAATATGAAGGTCGAAAAAGTTAGTGCCGACCTTAATATGATTGAATCGGCTTGTTGAAGTAACAAACCTACCAAAATGCAATTAAGTAAGAATAATAAGTATTGTACCGTATTATTGGTTAAATATTTCTACTCGAGAATTTTTGTTAAATACCCGAAGCAGACACTTGGAGATAAATATAAATTCTTACAAGACAAACAACATAAGAAAGTAACCCAAAACTAAAGTACACCAAACAGTACAAAATTCCCGCCTCTGTTAGCATTAATTACGCCACGAAAACAGCAGTTGTCATTAAATGTATAACACGTAACGAGAGAGTATGAAATATGCAAGAATCGAGGGCGATAAGGCACGTTCGTCGCGAATAAAAGTTCGCCTGTTTTCGTTCAGTTTTCATTCAATTTCTTTCTCGGTAGAAATAATACCTCCTCGGTACAAATGACGTAAGGTTGGTCCCGGATGCTGGGAAATATCGGCCAGGCAGACACTCATGGAAATCGATAAGCAGACATGACTCGAATCTCCATAAATCGTATCCACGGGTGGGGTTAAAGTTCGATTTACGTGACTGCGGTACATCGATTCGAACACTGAGACTAGGCCCCCATCCTCCCATCCTCACGAAAAACTTCCCTATTTTCGTCTAACCTCTATCTTTATTACTATCTGTAATGCGATCGTCAGGAATTTCGCGGCTCAGCCCGTGAAATCTTTATCGCGTCGACCGAGCAGCAGCCCGTGGCGGAATATTATTAGCATAACAATGCCCGACCGTGGGGCAAATCAAGGTTTTATATCCGATGATATCGAGTCTTGGAAGGTCGGAGAGGTTCATTTTTTCGTCGTTTCCGCCTGTCGACGTATCGGGACAGGACGAATATCGATTGTTTTTTTTCCTCCGTGGAATCGTAGGAAAAAATTCATTCCCATCGAGCAGGTCCCACGGGGAAGGGAAGAATTGAATTTGTCATTTGAAGATTTTATGAAAGATTTGTGGAAACCTTTGGGAAGTTATTTGGTGTAGAAGAATATTCTGTCTGCGATTTGAATTCAGTTTATTTGAGTTTATAGGATATTTTATATGTAACGACGCACTTTTGTAGTTTTCAAGGTTGATATTGAAGCTTCCGGAATTGCATTTGTTGTAATCGAGCAAAGAGCATCGTCGTCCTTCGATTCTTTTAACAATCAAACAACGAAACAAGTGTCATGGAAGCTACTGCAATAATTTCCTTTTGCTTTATTACCAACTAATTTTTCCGTTTTCCTAATCTAAAAATATATTCTCTCTTCCATTCTGATAATTTCTACAGATATCCTAAATAATATAGACTACATCTCGCTAATCGAGAACCCTCTATTTGCATTAAAATAGTTCATCGTTTCCCATACTAATCCAATATAAATCGAGGAACAATTGTTTTCTATGCTAGCGCAAACACGAGTGTAGAACCGACGAAAACTAAAATTCTGCTAGTGATAAATGCAAAATGCGTTAGAAAAAAAAAACTGTCGAAGGTAAATAGAACTGCGACTATAAAAAAAAAAAAAAAAAAAAATGTGAGGGTGTTTTTACGAATTCACTGCGCGATCGCGTGCCAGATATATCGGATTCGCGGAAAAGCGATTTTCGTCGTCCTTCGTTATTCCTTTGTCAGCCCGTGCACGCGCCAAACAAATTTCCGTTGCGAGTTTTATAGAATTGTTCGTGGACAGGGTTGTCCATCGATGTTGCGTAAAAATTTTTTCCAGAAACGTGAACAAACTTGAGGGCCTACGCTAATTCAAAACAGAGGTTTGCGAATATTTCGGTGACAATATTATACACCTACGTACGTCCTACTAGAACGTTCGTCATCATTTATTCATTTCCTTTACAAATCACTCCTGGGACATTAAGGGAGCACAACCCTGTAAAATTTGTTTGCAAATTTTGTTTGCTTAAATCTTAAATAAAACCTAATAAGAATTTGGAAACAATCCATAGTATAGTTTTTTTTTTATAATGAATGTTTGAATATAGGACTCGTTCCAAGGTCGTTAGAGTAATGCGCTTCCTTAAATAATTCTTTTGCAGATTGAAATGACAACATATCAAATCAATGTATGTTTAGGGAGAAAATAGCATTCACTGCAATCATATAGGTGCGAGGAGACCGAATATTTCGAGATTGTGCGGACTACAGCGTGGGTGATTTCGTGGATCGTGTTTATTCCATCGTTGAGGCTGCCAGTGGGACGACTCTACAAGGGCTTGCGGCACGTGGTAGGAGGCGAAAGAGTGCCAGGATCGGCAGAGGGTTGAGTTTCGTGGTGAAATGCTAGGGAACAGCAAGAATCCCGACGGTATGGAACTACATATGTGCAACGAACACGGAAGCGAGAGGAAAAGTGGGGACAGAAAAAGCAAAACGCGATAGAAAGAACGAAATAGGGGTTGAATGGAATGGCGAGACAAAGATGGAAATATGTGACCAAACAGACAGTGTGAAGTTAACTGGAAATGAAAACATTGAAAAGGGACCGTTAAATAGGGATAATAGACCTAGTTAGCTTTTACGTTAATGTAAATAATTAAATATTGAAGAAGCACACTGAACATGGTTAGAAGTCGTGTACTATGGAATAATTTTTATGAGATAAATGACACGTTTGACGTTAGTTTCGCCCTCTGGGGCTGTAGCGGTGTTTGTAACTACAGTACGAGCTTAGCATCCCCGAGGTATCCGAGCTAGAGAGGGGCCAACGGGCCCCAATAGATGAGAAGTAAGAGATACTGCAAACAGTATCAAAAGAATGCAGGAGTCGTGGAAGACGATGACAAGAAGAATGAAAATAAACTACGTAGTACTAAGTAAGCAGTAGTGCAATAACTTTGTATGATAAGTTACGCACATAAAATAAATGAATGAATAACGATAGTCTCCAATAATCTCTAGAAGAACACATATCTGGACCTAGTGTATTAGGTCATTCCGTAAATTCGTTTCTCCAAATAGCGTTTATATTTAATCGAAAATTATAGAAATTTTATAAATCTATGTTTCCTATGATTTCAAAAGGAACTTTGGAATCTTTGGAAAGACTATATTTTAAACAGGAGCAAACTTTGCCATCTTCCCACTGTAAATACGTATTCCCTGGACTCTTCCATCGTCCCCTTCAAAACAGTGGAAAAAATAGAAAACCCTCGAACGAAGCGAACTTCTAAAACAAGGGCAGAGGAAAATGAAAACAAATGGTTCGCGGGAGGGGAGAGAAGGATGAGGCGTTAGGGTGGGGACAGCGACACCGACGAGGTATCCCGAAGAAAACAGGAGATCCCTGAAGGAACGCCGCCCCAGGAGGGCGGAGGGGAGGGGGTACGCGTGTTCGAAAACACGGACACCTATCCTGATCAAGAAAGAAGCATCGGGAATGCAAGAGGGATGCGGATGCCTGGAGGAGAACAGAGCTGGAGGGTGCCGGAGATCCGAAAAGAGAGATCAGAGCCAGAGGGTGGAACAGAGATGCGGATGCAGTAGGGGGTGGTTAGAGTGAGATTCGGGCAGAAAGTGGGCGCGGGAGAGGCGGAGAGCGCGACGGAGCTGCTGGCGGTGCGAGAGAGAAGAAAGAGAGGCGCGCGGGGGTGGCAGGAGACCGAGGCTGCGGCGTAGCCTCAGTGCCGGCGCAGTGGCCGGGCCATCGTGTCCTGTGCCTAGCTTTCTGTGCTCTCTTTTCTCCGATCCTGTCCGACAGTCGTCGACGATCCTCCAGAGAGATCGTCCCCTTTCACGTCGTGTGCCTCGCCAGTCGACGAGCCTCTCCGTGCCACCCTTTCGTTTCCTGTCCTTCGACACCCTTCCCAGGTGCAGTGCCGGGTCGTGATCGCGCCAGGATGCGAATCGTGACGCGTCGCGACGCTCGGTGAGGCCCTGCCGCGACGAACCACCCGCTGGCGCGAGCTATCCGTGTGTCGTCCCCAGGAACGTGATCGGCGAAACGGTTTTCCGACTTCTTTGTGCGCGAGGACCCGCCAGGAGCAAGCGGACAGGACGAACGCCAAGAAGGACACCCTGCCGGGTAGCAGCCGGGAGGATCACAGGGCGAAGAGGTGGGAGCCATGCCGCCCGGGCGAGCTTCCCTCGAGGTAGCCAGGATCGTCCGGCATCCCTGTCCTTCCGGTGTACCGGGTTCCGGTCGCCTCGTCTGAGGTAAGGGATTCTTTTGCCTGGTTACAGCCGCGTAGACGTCGTCGATAGTGATAGTGATTCGTCGTCATCTTCGAGTACCTGCAAGTGCCTACGCTTCAGATGCTACCGTTAAGATTTACTGGTCCCTCCGATACAATTTTTCGAAGACGCTCCGAAACTTGCAAAGGTTCGTTGGAGTTCGTCTGGTGCTTGTAGCTTGGACGTAGAAGGTGCTCGAGGATTCGGAGACTCGCAGAGCAGCCGCGGTAGACGCGTTTGAATAGTGTCGTCCAGGACTCCAGGCTGACGCACATAGATGAAAGTCTGTTGTGGTCCAGGTCTCGCTATAAGCGTGTTCGAGAAATTTAGTTAACGCGTGCTCGGACCTGAGTCGATGGGTACTTGGGTTATGGGTGTCTTCGTGTCTTTATGTGATCGTTCGAGTGCTTAATCCAAGAACTGGTATTCCTCGAAGTGTGTACGTTGAAGATCTGTTGGCTAAGATGAACTGGATTTTCGAGGCACGTTCTCGTTCCTCGAGATTGTGTTTTATGTAGAATTGGTGATACAATCCGACTATGCTGACGCGGTTCGAAGTGTGTCGCGGGTTTATGAGCATCCGTTGGGGGGGGGGGCCCGGGGGCGCAGCTCTTCCAATTGGACATCTCTGCGTAGTTTGAAATGTGTTTAGACTCGAGTATGTCGGCATAATTCGTGGATTGTTATCGAGTATAGGGTAACTTAGTTTGGGGTTGAAGTATGTTAGAGAACTGATGGTTCTGATAGTGCAAGATGTGGAGATCCCTTCATCTTCTCAAAGGATGATAAGAGTGGACTAGTTTCTTGTGACATCTACTGGTTGGCTAGATTGTGCTCTATAGTAGGTTGAAATAATGATACTACTCATGAAATTCGAATCATACTGAGGGTTCTTAAGTATCTAGACAGATGCTGTGCACTGGAAACAAAATTGTGTGTTCGGATGTAAACTTCGCTGATATAGTTGCCTGCCATAAGTATTAAGACACCTGCTACAATTGTTCAAAATTGAATGAATATCATTTTTTATTGCTTCATTTTCTAGGTTCAATTGAAATACATGTTCAGTTGTAAACATTGATCACACACATAGTTGATTTATAACTATATTGCATTATAGTTATTAAAATAACATATCACGTCTGTTTACGTTTCTCTGCTACAGCGAAATTTATTTACGTATTTCCTTGGGTCATATTGAATCTAGTGGTATGGAAGTAAAGATTTAAATAATTGGACTCGATCGTTAGAGTTTAGTTTTTGTTTGGAATGGTATTTGTGCAAGACTATGCAGAGGAATCAAAAGATCGAAACGAACTGAATATTATGCATCGTGTATTTTTTTACAATCAATCCACGCAAGGTAGGTGTCCTAATACTTATGGCCGTCAGTGTAGTTGATGATTAGGGTGACTTCAGTTTGAAATTATCCCCCGAGTAGAAGTTATTGAAGGGTTCGATGCGAAGGAGCCTCTGAAAGTGTATGATGTGTCCCCCAAGTTGGATTTTTACTAAACTTCGCTGATGTAGTTGTTAATTTGGGTGTCCTCAACTTGAAATTATTTATTGGAGTGTTCGATCGAATGGTGAGAAGGAACGGTACCGGTTATGTTCTAGATAGAATTTCTGATATACTCGGATTACATTGACGTAGTTTGAAACGTGCTGCGGGTTTAGGGGCACCTAGTCAACTGCAGCTCCACTGCTGAACGTGTCTGAGTAATTTTGCTGTAGAAGGCGAGGGAGGCGAATATATTGAATGCAGCGATACGTGTTCAGAACTGAGCTCATGTATTAGGAGTATGCATAACTTTTGTAGATTACAGTTAGATGGTGGTACGGTACGGTATATCGGCATGTATTAATTAACAATAAGTATTTTTGATATTGATACGAGTGGCAAACTTGCATTCAAACAAATGAATGACAGATCGTAGTTGTTGGCAGAACCTTTTAGTTTGTTTCATAAGTGTAAATTTTGTTTGGTTAATGTACATAATTCAACATATAAACCAACGAAACTTATTTACACATCTAATAGTTGGCAGGGTGCTGTGAAATTCTGAGTGACTTTGTGTCAGGTTCTATCTATGCTAATAGACTTTTTGTTTCATGTATCCATGAGATTATGTTTATTTTTTTTGTTTTATTTAAAAGACGTGATACTAGAGACCCAGGTCTCTAAATTCCCCGAAGTCGTAGATCATACGACACTTAATCACTTGGAATCCTTTGTTTATAAAGTCCGCCACTCTTCGCCGTCGAAGGGTCAACGTTCGAGCGCAGAAGTCATCGCGCTGCTTCTGTTGACGTTGGCGACGCTCGACGAGGCTTTCGACGATGTTGCTTGCCTGGCGAGCCACAATAGCGCACCTGTGTATTTCATAAACAGAAAGTAGCCAAGCCGCGGACTGGCTTCAATGAAGTCATGGATGAATGCGGCGTACGAACAAAAACGGCTGTCAGCGTTTCAGTCGCATCGAATAGTCCTCCCAGCTCGTTCAGGCGTGAAATCGTCGCACGATTATGCGTCCACCCTTCGTCCATATCCGCGCGGCGAAGTCGCGGAAATTAGCATCTTCGAAATCCCGCCGACGAATGTTTGGAAGTTTTGGTGCGTGGAATCTTTGGAAAATTGAGTCGAGAGAGCTGGTAAATCTTAGCTCTAGTTTGGAAAGATTAGGCTCCTCTGGGGAGCCGAGGATCACAATGAATCACTATTCCAGGGATTCCGAACTTAAATCCTTGCTTCGGAGGGGTGCCACACGGGCATCAGTAGATTCGAGATCAGTTTATTGCGGGGCACAGTTGTATGTTAGCCTTCCTTAAAAATCGTGAAGCAGATTTGAGGAAGAATGTAATCCCTTGGCCTATAGGCTGACAACGAGGACATCACGACGATTTTTAGAAAGGAAAATTTATCTGTAGTTCATTGAATACCAAACAAATCATATTTATTTTAGGTGAAACCGCAGATTTCGATGCAAATAGAATATTATGTCTAGCGCGTAATTTTTTATATCGACTCTTGTAAATAATAATATATATTAAAACAATTTGCCTCCATCTTCGATTAATTCTTTGTGTAACGTAACAAATTCTCCTTCACTTTCTCTTTTTTCCAGGCTTCATGCACCCACTTTCGTTTCGTTGTCTTATTCTCTTCATTTTCATCATCTAAACTTATAGCAATCATTGCTAGTTCATCATCCGTAAAGTTCGCCATCTCGAAAACCGCTGCGGTCAAACTGATCAAACTACGGATAGGTAGAAACAGTCGTCACTGAAACGTTATGGATGTTACAGACACGGTGCTGACACGGGACTTCCACGTTACGAATATGTGTAAATAAACCATTAATGATAATTAAAAACTGCGAGCTACCAAAAAGTAAATCTATTAAAATTATTCGTTTGCAATATAAACTCAGATGAGTGAGTCTGAACTTTTATTAACAACTGTAGGTTATTCCAGAGCTTACCTCTTCGAAGGGTAACGAACAATCTAATTACCCACTGTAATTTGGTATCACGCACACGTCCAAGTCACATAGTGCTCGTGACATAGCTGTAGCACAACATGCATGTACGGTACGCGTTTCTGAAACTATAACGCGCGTTATTCGCAACGCAACGCACACTCGACTGCACCGTGTTCCGCTTCAACTGGCATTCGCGATACGAAGCTCGTGATTCGCAATCGCAGGTACGCCGCGAGAGAGAGGATCGCACAGTTTTGGGAATGTTTCGCGAGCGATTTGAACCGAAAGGGTCTCGAGGAAACGCTTCCTGTCGACCTACTCGCGGAACAATGCCTCGAAATCGCTGGCCAACGCCTGCTAGCGCAACAACCACCTCCGATGCATCTATTTTTAACGGTTGTATTTGTTTTCGCCGCGCTAGGGGATCGCGTGTCCATTATAGGGAGCAATTTACTCGTTTGGGACAAAAGGTTTTAAAACTGCGTTTGGGGGGTGTTTTAGCGAAACGAAAGTAATTTGGTAATGATTGGAAATAATTTATACAACAGAGGTCGTCCAACAAAAAGTAAATTTATTTCGAAGTGCGTACATAGAAATGTGTTTTCGAACTGAACGCTCACTTTTGTCAGGTTCGCTTCTTAATTCATCTGTTTTAATTTTAGAAAGCGTTAAATTGCGTGATAATCGAAAATAATGTTACTTTAGTAAGAGATAATTAACAATTTCAATCTGTCTATTTATCCATTCGTACCTCTGAGTACATTTTTTTTTTTTAATAATTGACAGTTTTGCTTTTGCTTTTCCAATTATTTTCGATTACCCATGGTGATTTTAACGACGTCAAAGTGTTCTTTGAAGTAGGTGAAAAAACTATAAAGATAAAATTGATTTTTTTCATCGGTGACGCGAAGAAACCCTATTAAATTCCTGCCGGAGACGCGTCGTTCTAGCACGCTGCGAAAATGTTCTACGCGACATCTTATCGTCTGTCCCACGGACGAGGATCTTCGACGTTTTCATCTGCCTTGGATTTTTCTTAGAAGAAAACGTGCCGAGAGAAAAATTTGTCTTTCACTCAGACCCTTGTAGATTTCTATAGCACTGAGAACTTTTACACGTGTAATTTCTTACAATCGCTAATGAGCACTCTAAGAAGGGAGAACGCCTCTCGAAAGTAATTCCATTGAAAATTTAGAAAAGGTTTAAGAAATTTTGTCTATATTGAATGGTTCATTTCCGTCGTGTTATATTCACAAAGAAAAATTTATTTGGAAACGTCGAACTTATCATTTAAGTGAGAATTATTTTGTCAATAAACATGGTGGATACGAATACTTATGGAACTGAATGTATATGCTGTTATTTAACCCATCCTTGTACAGCAGCCCCCAAAAACATCGATACCAATGAAAACAAATTTTAATTACCCCCCCTATGGCCCCCATTGCTTTTAAAATATTTTCCATTCGTGCATCGAGTTTTTTTTTTTATTTTACTTTC